TATGAATCAATGAACGTAAACATTTTAAAAATATTATTAAAAGTGAAAAGGAACTCTTGGGACAGGAGCATGAACCCAGGGCCAGTGCTCCATCCAATTGAGCTATCCCAAAATACAAGCAGTCCTCGTTTCTTTTCACCCATAACATTTTCTCTTTGAATATGAAACTTCATCATAGTTTGTGTTGTGGTCAGGCAGTTAGTGGGTTGATTTACCACAATCCAAACAATTAATAAGAGTAAGTTACACCACATTGTTAAAATGACAATCTATAATTCAAATTTTAAGGATGATAGTAAAAGATGGTGAGTAGGACACATAAAGAGACGATTTAGATTTCACAACAAAAAATTACACGGACACCGTAATAAATCACATTTGACACACATACACGCACAAATACTTGAGCTTTATGTATACTGAATATCTTGATGCACTGAAATACTATTCTGTGATTCTCAGTGGGTGTTTGAATAGTGCAGCATGCCATCCAAATGTATAATCATGTAATGCCGCTGTGCCACTGGGGGGTATATAGTATTGGAAGATGTGATGTAAGATTGCAAGATTCAGGGGTGGCGGCGAGAGATGGGAACGGATTTGTTAGTTCGGTTTAATTGATTGGTTTTTTTAAGAGGATAATTGTATGTTCTTTTATATTTGCTGACTTTTTCTAAGTACTCACTGTAAATTTATTGCGAAAGTCGGAAGGCTGTTGTAATTGCTAGGTTTTAAGTTCTCTGTATACTGTTAAATTGTTCATCAGGCATGTTGACAGTTACCATGCTGTATTACCTACCGGACGCATATAGGCTTTGTAGATTGCTATATTGGTTTGTGATCTGCATATGTTACAGAATAAAATGAAAACAAATTACGAAAAAAAAATAGTAAGAAAGGTTTGTTTGTTTTTAATTATGCACAAAGCTACACAAGGGCTATCTGTGTTCTGCCCACCACGGGTATCGAAACCCGGATTCTAGCGTTGTAAGTCCGCAGACATACCGCTGTGCCACTGGGGGGCAGTAAGAAAGGAAACGTTCACTTAAACGAGATTGTTGTAGGGTTCCCAAATTAATTTCCTTTGTAGCTGTTATCTTTAGTGAATGTCTGTTGGAACATTCACAAGTCCTAGAACTGAAAAATCCAGTATATGATTGTATGGTTGTTTTTGGTAAACTGTTTGCCTATAGGTGTATCTTGGTTCTGCAGTTTGATATGGTTTAGGTGTTCACGTGCTCGATCACAGAGTAGGCGGCCTGTTTGTCTAATGTATAAACTACCATAGTTTTTACAAACATATGCAATGAAAGATATATTAAGTAGCGCAAGAAGCCTGCTAATTTAACTTAGCTATAGCTGTAGCTGTCATAGGCCATCTTCTTCCTTCCTGCTGCTGTCAGATTCTTAGACAAAAAAGAAACAGACTATTTTTTCATTGCCCAACCAGTCTGCAGTTGAAGTAGATGCGCAAAATTCTCTCAATAAGAGTTCTGGCTCAGATTGCTCTAGCAAGTATGAGAGAGTCTTGAAAGCCACCCATCAGGAATAACCCAGCCTGGCTGATATTCAGTGTCTGTTGGTGCTTGTGGTAGAGAAGATTGCTCCAATTCTTGGCTTTCTGAGATACAGAAGCTTCAGGAAACTATGTGAAAGTAGGTTCATTGCATCAACCTCTGCAGGCTTCTGATAATCAGGTACCTCAGTCAAGGTGACCATCTCAAATTGTGTTAGAACCAAGATGATGTATGTCGGGGTTATGTACATTCACTTGTGAGGTCCTCAATAAACTTGTTCACAAGAATATCCTTCTGATCAGCAACAGCCATGCCAGAACATGTCTTTCTATACAGAACAAGTTCTGGTAGAGTCTATGTCAATGACCAACACTGACCCATTGTATAGTTGTTTTCTGCTGAGTCAAACATTCTCCATAGCTCTGCATTGATGACGTCCAAACACAGAGATGGCCAGAATCTAAATGCATAAAACCATATACTATATCTGCTGTTTCTGCATCAATATGTTCCAGTTAACAACTTCAGGAAATGGTCCAGGTGTTCTTTTGATGCACCTATGAATAATGACAAGCTGACATGTTTCACCTCACCATGCTTGAGGTAGAAAAGGCAAGTAACCATAACTGTCCTACTAATCTTACCATACCAAAAGAGTGAATAACACCAAAGACAGAGACTTGTGTCAATGGTATGCAACCTCTGCATTCAGCAGAGTGCAAGGTGAGCATTCAGATTTAACATAACACACTACTGTTGTGAATGCATTACAGCCCTGATCTGCTAAGCAGTGAGGTCCTGGTTGATATTAAGTAATACTGGCCCTGGCTAGCCTCTCCACTCGGGACTGCTGCTGAACACTAATGGTGAAATGGTTCTTGATGGTATACCTCATAAAGCAGCCATTTACCTCTAAGCATTCCATTAGTGCATTCACCAAACAACAAAGATCAAGTATGCTGGATGATGGAAGCACTAAAATAACAATATTTCATTTAGTTGTGATGACTCAAAAGTGGCAGACACATTACACAAGTTGAATGGCAAGTGCAGTATCTGACAAACCATTTGGAGTGCTGAAAGCAACCTTAGGTCTGCTCTCATCATCTAACTTGACTTGCCATTATCCAGAAATAGGTTGAATGTGCAGAACCAACAAGAACCTTGTGTGTCCAGATATTTTCTGTTCATAGTAACAAATTATTGTGAATACAAGGTACAACATTTATCAGTGTAAAACAGAATCTTATTTTATCTTAATTTTCCTGACAATCTCAGCAGGGGATGATCAAACACTTTTTTGAATGTTGTATGATTCCAGTCTTTACATTTGCTGTATCTTAGCGTTGATTATATCGCCTGGTGCTCAAGGACACACATCACATATATTTATGTGGTGGCAAGTTATTGTTTTCTGAACCAAATAACCACCTGACCCCATAAATACACTGACATATTCAACTGACATATACTTTCTATCACTGTAGTGAGTCTAAATTTCTTGCACAATCATCAACCAATGATCTCAAAAGTTCTGGAAATCATGTGTTCATTGTCAATTACAGTATGAATAACCCTAGCTGTACAGCTGGTTCTATTTCACTCACCATGCTAAAGACCATTCAGTGGGAAGTTGAATAGCTAAGTGTTCATAGCCACAGATCAGCCATAACTTAAGATACATAACGTTCAAGCAAGTGAAGCCTGCTTTATGGACAAGAAACAATTTCATGCATTGGTTCTATCACTGCAGCACACAGTAATAATGTACTATATGAAGTATTTAGTGCACCAAAAAACACAATTTGTGCACTTGGAGGTGCTGTGTATCCCTTCTCAATGTGCACTTGTGAAGTCTACTATTTTTGGACCCATTCTGGCTGGCACTGTATGATTTTCTCAATTGGTGTATAGTGTCAATACCTTATACAACATCCAACATAATATAGATTTCAAGAGCATAATAGACATACAAGACTCTGCAATAGCTCATCATGTAGTGAAGGCCATATAACAAACTGGAATAATATTAAAATAATAGGATATAAACCAAAGTAATAAAAGATAAAAGAAGCCTTGTACATACATCCAACTGTTAAAAACTCAGCCAACCTAGTACAGAAGTTAGCAAAGCCTGGATAACACTCTTGAAAACATTCAAATAAGTGAGCTAATTAAAGTCCTAATGGAAGAGGCTTAAGGTAAGTGGACAGTATATCAGGCTACCACCAACAAATATATAGTTTTTTCAGGACTTCCCTGAAAACAGAAGCAGATTAGCAGTTGAAATGTAGGATAAAAACCAATTAGTAATCAACAATAATAAAAAAGGTAGTAACTAATAATTATATTTAGGTGATTGGATAGGCTTAAAAACCATAACAGTGAAGGCATGGAAATACTAAAAAAAAAGAAATTGTTAAGTTTTAGATGCAGATTAAACTTGGACTTTGAAAGTTTCCAGTTATACAGTTCAAAGTTCAAAAAGTAATAATCTTTCCACCATTTATAGCCAATAGTTCTCAAATTTTAAAAGCTATCAAATGTTTGATGTAAAAACTAAAAACATATCTTGTCATACTATTAAAAGACTTGTATTGTATTATGGAAAGCTACTATGACTACTTGCTGCCATCTCTAATTTTAAAATACTTAGGGAATGTAGCCAGTCAGCAGCACATATCACCCATCATCTGTGCTAAAAGATTGATTGTCACTCTTATGATGCGTTCATAACTTAGAGTACAGAGAAAAGTTTGCGGTATCACAGATTTCAATCCAGCTTATAAGTTCCAATACCCAGAGCTTTACCACATAACCAACTTGTGCCCCCTATTAAAAGATAAATCTATATAGTAGACCACCTGATAAAGGAAAAATGTAAAGTTTTTGTACAGTCATTTCAGCAAAAAACAAAACAAATATTAAAATAAATATGGGGAATGATTATTGTATGTGAACAAACTGGTATGAAAATTTTATATATATAATTAATGAAATGAAGAAACCTAAACCAGAACAATATTGCAAAATAGTCATCAGAGAGTATCATTTTCACTAAGTATTTCAACTAGCATTAGTTTAAAAACAGCTTAGGCTACCAATTTCAGATTATTCTATAAAATTCTTTTATGAGTTTGTGAAAAAAAACAATTCCTCTTGACAGTGCCACAGCATCAAATTACAAAACTGTGGCTAACATACTTATCAGAGTTAACAAGATATTACGTTATTTCATTCTTTAAGAAAGCTAATATTGTTAATGTAGAAAATTTCCTGAACATAGGGAACACAATAATTAATACATATAATGGATTTTATTACCAAACAGAAATATATATATACCTCTGAAGTTATGGTATTATAAGTAAATGCCAGGAATGTGAAGCATGAGATTAAGTTAGATAATTAAGGATGGATTGAACTCATAAGAAAATTAAAGAAAATGTTTTTAACTTAATGGAATGAGGACAGTCATACATGTATGTTTTACTTCAACATTTACTTTTACACTTATTTATTAAACAGCTATAATACCAGTTTTGCTTATCCAACTAGTGAGTCATCTGGATTCACAGACAATTTTTGAACATATTTATTACACGGCTATAATTAGTTATGCTTGTCCAATCACTCAGCCAGCTGTATTCACAGCACATTTACTGACATAAGCAACCTTATAATGAATAATGTTTGTGTTGCTTCAACAAAAACTGCCCCAACTTCTCAGAGCAACATATCTGCCAGATATTCTTCAAACTCATCTTCCTTAGATTTTTCTTTCTCAGCATTCATAGGTGTTTTCCAGATATCTGAGACTTCATTACTAGTACCAGCAGCTTGGTTAATTCCTGTGTTTATTGAAAAAGTTTTATTTCTTTCATCTTCTTCTACTTGCTTAGCTGCAACACAGAAAAAGAAATTAATCCACAAAATAATAATAACAATAATAATAAACCAATACTGACTATCTTCTTGTTATAATTTTTTTTCTTTACTTTTACCAATATACAATACACACTAGTTGCACTTTGGTTTTTACTCCAATTTGTATTTTAACTATAAGAGTAATTTTTTGGAGCATTATATACATTATAACCCACTCTTTCTAAAGGTCTTAAACTTAATAAGCATAATGACTCACAACTTTATAAAATCTACAACTGATAGCTATCATAACTAACATTTGGTCTCAATCTTAATTCAGATCAATGAATTTTTATTTATTTACTTGAATCAAAGCAAGTTTACACTATCAATAAAACAAACAAAAATATTCATACATGAAAAACTTTCTTAACATATACTGAAACACATTTTCTTACAAAAGTACTAATTTTTAGATCCACCTAGGTCTTAATTGCATGTTTTGTTTACCATTTACTGAGCAATTCAAAGAGAAACTAAAATTCAAGTACTAATTATTCTCCTCACAATAACTAGGTCTTTGATAAATTTAGCATATTAGTCTGAAAATAATTTCACTCAATCAAAAGGAAACTTTACTACTAGGGATGGAGATTAATAAGAACAAGCAACAATGTAATAGATCTACAAAAGGTTTTTGAGAGGAAGGGTAGTGTAAAGGTTTTGTTCCTTTTTTTTTTAATCAAGAACATTTTCAAGTCAAAACTAACTCCAAAGCTGTGAATAAAAATATACATTTCATAGTTAGTTTTGTTTGACATCAGACTAAACTATGTGAACAAGAATTTGTAATTTCCCACACCTTCCATTTCTAAACATTGCTTCTTATTTTTGTCATCTGTGCTAATGTTACTTCTTTTATTTTTCTTTCTACCAACTTCCTTCTGCTGATGGTGGTAGTTCAGTTTGTATGAACATTTTGGACAAAGCCCTAGATGTGTATGTAAATTCAGAAACAATTACTACTTTCCTTCACACTGACAGAGCTATTAGCTGTAAAATAAAAATTTATTTGAAAAACAAACAAATAAATTTCTACAAGACAAAGAAATCTTTGTGAATACAAACAGATGAGCAAGCAGCAACTAATACATTAAATTTGACATTGTTAACTTTTAAAATAATAAATTTTTCACATAATAAGACTTAAATATTTATTATTGAAAATAGAAGAATAAACAGGCAAAATATAAAAAGAGGCATACAACATTTGCCTGTTTTTTTTAGAATAATACTAACGTAATTTCACCAATGCATTCTTCTGTTCACCTTGCTCCACATATCTAAAGTTGACTTCCCAACTTCGAAGGGTTTCTGCTTTCTGACATTGCTTATTACCACAGGTGAACTGGCCTACAAATTAAGTAATAAATAAACTGAATAAAACTTCCAGCTTTGTTTTGCTGATCTATACTCCCTGGAAACAGCCATAACAATTCCCACTTCTGCAGCTAAACCTTTTAACCCACTAGAGCCACAGAGAAAATAAATATATTTCAAAACAAGTGAGAATGTAATACAAGCTGAAAGCAAGCATAAATCTGATCAAAACCACTTCATTCTTATATGTTCACTTGTGATTTCAAGAAATGGTTGATGGAAAGAGAATTAAACTTTGCAAGTATGCTCTTCAACAATACAAACCATATTTGGAATATATTTACAGAAGGTCTGGGATAAAAAGTTTAAATGTTTTTACAATCTTATGGAAAAAATTAGCTTTAGGACTGACAATATTAAGCATAAAAACTATGAAGATGAGCACATACCTTTTCCAACAATGACTTCTTGTTCTGTTCTCCAGCGCAAAGCTATCTTTAAAACAAAATATGAAATATATACACTTTGAGCCTAACATTTAAATAATGACCTACAAAAAGCTTTCATTCAAGTCAAAGAGAACATATGTTATTATTTTCTTATACTGAAAATATATTTCTGATGGATACTTACCTCTTCCCACATGTATATTGTTCTTGTTCGGTGCTGCTATCTATATGTAAACATTTTTTTGCATGCTACAAGCCTCGAATTCCCATGTACCCCATGATCAACGTGATTCAACTGTGTCTCACATGTAAATAATCATGCAACACCCCTCCACCAATAGGAGTGCAACACACCCTTCTGATGCAAGTTACTTCCTCTATTTGATTCAACCAAAATATTACTTTGAGATTAAGCATAAAAGAAAGCACTGGTTTTCAGTGGGGAGGAAGAGTAGGAAGTATGAGAGGAGGTAAATACCTATCACAATTATATTTTCAGCTTAGGAAAATAATAACTCCCGATATGATACATTACCTCATCTCACATGTATAGCTAGAATCCCACATTGAATAGGTCAAGTTACAGGTGCAAGGGAAAGAAACAAGTATCTTTCGAAAACATCTGAAGAACACTCATGAAGTGTGATCCCCGTTGGGAAAGGAACACATGTGGCAAACTACACTACATCTGTACCAGGTATACTCTGCACCCAGTGTGGAAACTGGTGTTGCATACACAGGTGGAAAGTGGGAGGAGCACAACTGAAAAGGGGAGAGAAAACTGGTTGGATTGGAATCTGGACCACAGTATAATGGAATCTCAATCATGTAGAAGAAGTACTGTAGAAGAGCTATCAACAGACAGGAATGTGGGGAAAGCTAAAATGAATGTGTTCCAAGGTGTAGAGTGGCTAGGGCACAACGGACCATATGCAGCCAGTCAACTCTAGTCCAAAACCAAGCAGCATCTGGAATAGAACCTCCGATCAGTGGTAGGAGGAGGGTCCACACTGTCTTCACCCCGAATTAATTAGAAAGGAAGCATATACTATGTAAACTGATCTATGAACTGGGCACATGTGAAAATCCACAACCAACCAAACATCTGAGAACCTGACATCTGAATGAAGGTAGGAAGATCAAACTCAACCAGACTGGCACCCCACTGCAAACATCAACCTCAGGCAGTAAAAACACCCTGAGGAGTAGCGCAAGAGGAAGAACTGTTGCCCTGATCAACATTATCCTCCAGATAAGGCCACACAGAAGCTGGAGCACAACACCACCCTCCAGGTCCCACTGCACAGAAGTGGATCATTCTAGAAATATATAGCAACTGCACACTCCAGACAGAACTGCACAAAAGCTGGGCACAACATCAACCTCTAGGACCCAATGCTCAGAGGTGGAAATCCAAAGGCAAATTGAGTGAGGAAGAGGAAACACAACCAACACATGTGTGAAGATTTATTTTGATTGGTTCAGCTCTAATCCAAAACCACTCACTGGGAACTGACATCCAGGTGATGGTAGGATGAGATATCCCAAATCAAAGGGGTGAACTGCAATGTGATGGATCTGCTCCAAAGCAACATCATCATCTGGATAGGACAGCACAAAGGCTGAAGCACAATAGCAACTCTCCCAGGTCCTACAGCATAGAAGTGGATTGCATCTATAAAATATAAGCAACTTCACCCTCCGGGACCCACCACATAGAGGTGGAGCAGATTTATTTGTAGATATGCGCAACATCATTTCTCAAATGGGACTGCACAGAAGTTGAAGCTCAACACCACCCTCCAGGTACCACCACACAGAAGTGAATCACATCTGGAAAATATAAGCAACCTTACCCTTCTCCAGAACCCACTGCTCGGAGGTGGAGCATGGAACACAACTGCCCTACTCTCTACTGAATGGAAGGGAACACATTCAGGAGGACTCCTCCATGGTCCACCACCCCAGTGGTTCAGAACTGGAAAGTGGCAAGGACTCCCATACTCCACTAGAAGAACAAGGGGGATAAAACATGGTGGAGAGTCTGGAGGAATACCAACACTGGAGAGAGAGTGCAGTGGGTGACCATGAAAACCCTATTTTGAAAAGCAGACTGTCCCTGATTCATTCAATCAAAAGGACAGCAGGGATGCTTTACCCATTTATTCCATGGGTTAGTATGATCTGGAACATGTACATTAATGAAGCAAAAAGCTACTAGCAATCTTATGGAACACCCCATCTCAACAGTGTATGTTATAGGCCATGGGTGTAGATTGTGGCTGTATATTGCAGACTTAAGATATAGGAAGCATACCTGTACAGGCAACACTCGCCACTGAATGGAATTCTAATCCTAAATGAGACATGCCCCTGGAGAGAAAAAATATAAATAGAAAAGATAATTCACCCAGTCATGGCCACACCAAAATTTGAAGGATAGCAACAGTCAGAAGACAGTATCCTAACGAGGAAGAAACAGCTACTCACTGAAGAGAGTGGGAGATGAATGTATGAGGTGGAGGCCACATACCTGACTGAATAGTTTCTTCCAAAAACAAAAAGATGGAGGAAGGGAGCCATCTGGAAGTCACAAAGATAATGGGAAAGTAGAAGGACCTGTAAAAAGACAGAGGCCTTCCCAATAAGATCCTAACAGCAACAAAACCACGTGTGAAGGGATAGGGCTGAAAAAGACAATAGCACCAATGAGCAGTAAGGAGGGAAAGTGTATCCCATGAAAAAAACCCTCAGGGGATGGTTGAAGGGCCACAGAAAGAAGACATATGTTGAACAAGTACTGTAGGAGAGCTGTAAAAGTAAGACAAAGGTGGGAAAAAAGAAGTGGGAGAAATGGATAGGATTATCAGGGACAGCCACCCACATGAGCAAAAGTGACTAACTGCTGGGAGTCGAGAAAAAGTTGATCAGCTTCTGTTAAGCCAAAGCATAAAGATCAAAAGTCCATGGAAGATGAGGCATGCTAACACTAGTCCTCAACTGAGAAATGAAATGCTCAGCATGAACCTTGATTCCAGGGGAAGGAAGGGAAATAAGGGACTCTAAAGATGGGTGTCACATTAAAAAAGAAACAGTATGATATGAAAACCGTGAAAATGGACAAGTAGACTTTGTAAGAGTTGACTGGGAAGTCATTGCATAGGTAGAAGGAGGAAAAAAAAAAACTGTAAAAATCTTAATAATTATGAACAGGTTCAGAAAATGCAGGAGGAAAAAGGATACCTCATATAACGATCAATCTCCCGACAAATGATAGCCAAACAATTCTCAGTTGAGACCCTCAGACCTGAAGCCAGTAATGTCATTCGAAGTAGCGGTAATAATATCAGAAATTTTAAAACACAAACTACGGAATTCATCTTAAATCATGAAGTCGAAAAGGAGGAAGCATGAAAGTGAGCAAATAAATTGGGTAAGAGAGGAAGACTAGTATAAGGAGAGAGAGAGAGAAAGAAAGGAAAAAATGAAGGGAAAAGAGGAAGTCCCAAAACTGAAAGAAGTGATACAAATGATGAAGGCTCATGCATCAAGGAAGCCCAAATACCTAGAGAAAAAAAAAAAAAGGAACATATATCTGTGGAATCCAAATAACAAAGGATGAAACTGGGACTACCTGATCTTCAATGGGAAGAGGGAAGTAGAAGCAAAAGCAGTCATGGAAACAATAGTAAAGAAATACCAGATAAGGCAGGCTCAACAGAAGTAACAGAGACAGGAGATCGAATATCATGGATCCAAGATCAGAATGGAACCAACCATGTGCGCACAGTGACAGTAATACCACTAACTGTCAGAGTGCCTCCAGCTACCATTACAGTACTGGATGACACCTGTGAAGGAGTGCAAAAACCTAGGGAATAATCAGAAAAGTGGAAACATGAATGTATAATCTAGTTGATCCATGAAACTGATTTTATGGAGGGTCTTTTTTTCATAAAATAAAAAGATTATCACAGAATCCACAATTTTTTTATAGAAATAAAATGAGCATGGTATGTCGATGGTGCTTAGGCCTAATACCAACCATGAAGAGTACAGGAAAAAACCCATATGCCGAGTTAAAGAACTGGAACAAATAGGACATATGCCCCAAAAGTACAAACTTGAGTGAAAATCAAATTGAAGGTAATGCAAATCAAAATTTCAACTGAAAATTCTTTTTGCATATGATCAAGAAAGTGAAGGAAAAAAAAAGACTACACTAAGAATGGTAATGAAAGTTTAAAATAAGAAGACAAGAGTTCTGGTTTTTCCTATAAAACACATGTCTGAAGACATGCAGTGCCAATGAAAGAATGAGGGCCTAGCAAGGCCTGGTAGTAGGGTACTCAATTCTCAATCTGCAGGTTGTGAATTCAAATCCCTTTACCTTCACCAAAGATGCTCACCCTCTCAGTCATAACGACATTAATGTAATGGTGAATCCAACTATTGATTGGTAAAGAGTGTACCAAGAGTTGGAGGAGTGTGTTGTTGACTAGTTGCCTTCTTTTTATTTAGTCTATCAATTTAAAATTAGGAAAGCTAATTCAGACAGCTCTCCAGTAGCATTGCATGAAATTAGAAAAACAAAGAATGAGCCTTTGTTCAAATGAAGATTACTGTGCATAGAGGATGTGTTGTCCTCCAATTGGTGGAGGGTTACAGCTTAATGATTGACTGTATCATAAACTGGCAAAAAATAAGTTGACATGTGTAGGGGAGGGTGCTTTGTTCAAGGCTTGCAGCATGTGCAGGAATTTACAAAGCAGTGCATGCAAAGTAATAGCTCTTTGTAGTGCAGAAAGGTGAGGAATGTTTCTGAAATACCTAGTTTTATTACTTTTTATTTTTGGTATTATACTTTCATTGTTAACTTAATATACGTTTTAATAACTAACCCAAATCTCCCAAGCTAGGCTTGTGGTCAAAAACATCATTAACAGCAAGAGTACCCAACTTATGAAATGATGTATTCTAATTTTTATTAGTAAATATGTAAGAAAGGTTATTCATTTAGTTACACTGATGACCAGGTTGATTTCCAGTTTAGCTCCAAGTACGTAAGTAAAGAAAAACTTTGCAAAAAAGGAAGTAAATGTAGGGACATCTAATATCAATCCTTCAAAAACAATGAAAACAAGATAGTAGGGGTGGCATTTGCCTCATCCATACATAATAGCACGGGCAAGAATTAATATATAGCAATATATTTAACTATTCAAACATAATTGAGTTTAATTTTTCCTACTGAGCTACTACCTTGTTTTCATTGTTTTTGAAGGATTGATATTAGCCATCATTATATTTACTTCATTTTTTTAAAAGTTTCTTCTTTACTTGTTTTTTAATACAGTGTTTCAATAAACATAGGAATGTTGTATTTATAATCAAGTTCTAAATACAATGAGGTTCAAACTGTAATATTTATTGCTTATCTATTACTGGCTGGTAATTCCTGTTTCACCCTGTACTTAAGCTTTTTAAAGGAACATCAAACTTCAGTAAGAAGGCTAACTTCAAGGGGTAATGATAACATCATTTACATTAGAATTATTTTTTTTAGCTTTATAAAATATAGAAGAAACAAATCGACTTTTCAATACCCGTACAATCTTTGCAGTACCTTATCTAGTATTCTACTAAAGGTTTGGGTGCAATATACAAAGCCATCTTCATTATAGGCAGGAAAGAGAATAATAATTATAGGAATTACAAACGGGTCATTTTCAGCAGATTTTATATTCCTTCTAAGTCTAATATGCATGTTTGTTTTTATAAATTTTTATATGTGTACAGTCTAAAGAGTCCATAATAAAAGTTTTAAAGTGTTGTTTGAAATGAATCTTTACTATTTAAGGTGCTTTTTGCCTGAAATCTCTAAGGGTTTTGTGCAATCCCTATTATGAACCACTGTCGTGGTTCATGATAAGATGGAGTTTTATATTAATTTTTTGATATCACCAAAGAAATACTTTTGAAGAGCTTATAAATAAATCAAACAACCTCTTTATAATATCTTATATGAATGGCACTACCAGTTTGACCTTACCTTGTTTTCTTTATATTTACTCAAGTCACAAATAGTATACTCCTTAAATAGTTTATCATAGTAGCGTTTAGCAAGTTGTTTCTCCCTGGTAACACACACAAAAAAAAAAAAAACAATTAAAAAGACATCTCCTTCAGTTTCTAGCCATGAATATTTTACTATTTGCAGTATTACATCAAAATATTGATCATTCTTTCCTCGTTTTATGTAAATACCTTAAGTTATAACTTAATATTTTTCAGATACTTTGTGGTATTATCTCTAATAATTAAATAAAATGCATAAAGATGGGTTCACATGAGAAACTTTCAGAGGTTTTATAATTTCAAAAATATAAGAGCAAGTCTTAGGCTTTTATTATAAACTTTTTAATTCTAACTTACAATAAAGCTACAAAGATTCTGTAAATTATAAAACTTACTTGTAAAAGCATAAAAAAATCATACATTTCCATCAAAAGTATCATAAACTCACTAACCAAGAATCAACTTTATCATCTGATGACCACAAGAACTTGTGATTTTCTCTAATAACATCCTGATCCGTTTTATCTTGACTCCTAACATAAATAAATTTCCTGCTTAAAATAAACTCACATATTGTTTAGTATATTTTAAAAGTACATTTTGTTCTTTAATAACACAGCCCACGTGATGATGACAGTAATAGTAACTACATTCTTCAATTAAAATTACACTTAGTAAATCAATGATTAGGTACATGTATAAAATTGACACATATTTCAGGCTTTCTTGCTCTTTATGTATATGAAACATTTCAAGCCTTATTTCAGCTTACATAAAAAAACTCTCATACACATCTTGAGCCTTCTTTCTCTTTATATGTAAACACTCTGACACATATCTTGGGTTTTCTATATATATACGTATAAAAACTTTGAACCACATCACAGGCCTTCTTTCACTTAGGAGAGAAATTGTTTTGAAACATTTCTGAAAATCTTACAAATTTATCTGACAGAAAGTAAAACTTTACTGACATAAAAGTCAGCAAAATACACTTTGATAAATTATGTTTGCTACAGATTACTTGTGAAAGCACACAAAAACACTGTTATCAGAATACACAAAAAAAGTAATTAGTAATTTTTTAAAATTTGATAGCCCAGAATCTTAGAAGCAAGAAATAACACAAAACAGCAGCATTTATTTCCCCAATTTAAACAAACTCGGCTAAAGCTTTACACCATAATATTTACATACAGTGACTATCCATTGGACATATTTCAAAACACAGCATAATTTTTAAGACTCTTTAAGCATTAAAAAAAATTAATCACAGGTGTGAAAAATAAAAAAACAACATGGACACGCATAACAAACTCACAGATTTATTAAATTATCTTCACAAAACAATCTACAAAGAATTATTACATAAAACGTGACGTAGTTCTGTAGTGTTTATTCAGAAGCATGGATCATATTACTCTGCCACATACTTACGTATCCCTTTTTAATCTTGATGTCGATCCTTTATAGCACAGTAAATAATCATTTATCAGCTTCTTGTGTCGTGAATACTATACTCAGTGTTAAGAAAACAAAAGCATCTTTTTGTGTTTAACACTACATATTTTAGGCATGATTAAAAAATCATATCCAAGTTATCATAAAAAAATTCAAGATTTTCACCAATAATCCTACAATCAGTTTGCTCTTATAAAAATACTAGCAAAAGTACCCGGCTTCTCTCAGGTTATTAGGTTGATATATTCTAGATGACTATGTCAACGTGTGTATTCTGAACCTATTTTCGCATCCTGCAGGTGGACAGTCTTCATCTCGAAGCTTCTTTTGGCTTATGTGAATGAATCTCAGCTTTTCTGTTTAAATTTTGGCATACATTACAACTTGCCAATTACAATTTTAGTGATGGGGGTGCAATGGGGCCATGAACGGGGTTTCCATAAAATCACAGACAGACAGATATGCATGTGCATCGCGCATCTTTTTAATGAAGCAAGCAAAAACCACATAGAAAAGAAGTGGTTCCTTATATTACAAATAGAAATCACAGACAGAAAGACATAGATTAACAACTTCTAATATATAGAAAAGCCAATGTGTTTTGGTAACAATGCATTCCAACAATAGCTTTTATGTCATGTTGCTTAGCAACAAAAGTATAACCTAATATTGTTGTTAGTCTATGTCTGTTTGTGATTTCTATTTGTAATATATGAAACAAATTCTTTTCTATGTGGTTTTTCACTATCTTGCCTTATTAAGCTTTTTGAGATGGGTCACAGGTGAAAGGCCATGTCATCTCGTTTGTTGACTCGCATTCAAAATTTT